GGTAAAAACTGGGCCTACAATTGTGTTCCAACCTTCTGTGATCTCCAAAGCATTCAGGAAATTTATATTTGTTGAAAAACAGACAAGGCAAAGCTAACCAAGCAAAGGTTGAGAAATATGCTTATGACTGCTGTTTTTATTTAGTGAGATTCCCCAGGAGCTTGATCCTAAACTACAGTATGCTGAATATGCATCAATAAACTGGAGCTGGTGGCAATGACACATTTAAGATCACCTCCAAAACCAAAATCTGTTTGGTTTCTGGTTTATTTAATGAATCCATATATCATATGCCACTTCTACCACAATAATGACTACCACGCCACCAGCATTCTGGAGGCATCCCACAATTAAAATGATGCTAGCATAGGACTAAGCTGTCAGACAGCTGAATATTGCAATGAATTTCAATGTTCAGTTTCGTAATTAAAATGCTAGAGCACAGGATTTGGCTTTTGCTGAAAAAACAGTCCAAGTTTGGGGCCATTCAAAGAAAAACGTAAATTGACAGTTTCTTTTAGAGCAGAGTGAACAATAGCACATCTTTACAGGTACTTGTGTACAATTACTATAACGTCATATCACACTTCACCTGTCCTAACTCACCAGGAAGAGCAGAATGGCTTCGTGTTGGCACAGAAGCAGGCGATTCTATTTCCATCTCATTTCCGAGAGGACTGTTCTGTGATTCTGTTATGACAGACATTTTGCTAGATTGGAATCGTGGAGCTAAGAAAGCAGAACAAAATATTACTAGTGGTTAATTCTATAGCAGCAAAGTTAACCTGAATAATATTTATTTACTTTTACAAATAATAAACAGTACAGAATACTACAGAAACCCTTTTGGCAAAATTCCAGAAAATACAGAGCTAGCATTAAGTACAGTGAAATACAGTTTAAGAATGTTCTGTTCTGAAGTCAGAGGGGCGGGCATTCCAGATGCCAAATATTCTATTTCCCACAAACTCCAAACTACCCACACTTGTTATTCAACCAAGTGGTATATCCGAATTTCTAAAAAAAATCCCTTTCAAAGTAGCCATCAGGTCACAGAATCTTGACAATTCTCCACATGTTTCCAAACAGAAGCTGAACTTTTCTAGATTTGCCTCAGTAACCTAAGCATTGCTATCAGGAATTTCAACTGGGTATACTGTATATTGGTGTTTCAATCATTTAATTTATTTTCATTTATTTTATTTTGTTGTTAGCTAAACTCAGCTCTGTGTAAAGACCAAATGGATGGGATATAGGCTTTTGTTTAAATAAGTGAAAGAAATGAAAAAATGAATAGCACTATATAAATTGGAAAACAGCTTCTACTTAAAAACCAACAAATTCAATACCACCAGCTACATGGTAGCACAAAATGGCCTAAAATTAGATGCAACACTGGTCTTTATTTTTAGTGCAAAAGGTTGGAGCCGTGCAAATTTGTTTCTACCTTCTCTTGGAGCAGGAATTTTTGAGAACGTTGTCCTGCGGTTTTGCCTCTGAAGTGAAAAGAATGTTTCAGTAACGAGAACATCAACAAAGTTTTAACCATGTAATACATAAACTTACAGTATTTCTAGAGCTGTTTCAGTCAGGATCAGTAGCTACTGATTCCTGAATACTGTTGAGTGCAATAAAGTGTATCAGCATTGTAAAGAAGCCCACAGAAGCTGTGTGTGTTACATGTCATCAAGTCGCTGTAAAAGAAGAGACTTTCCTTCTTCTGTGACTAGCAGTGGAAGGAAGGCTAGAAGACAGCTACCTTTTTAGTCAGAGCATGTCAAAAAATCCATTTTCTCAGCCAAGCCCTATGATGCGACAACATCTGGTCAGGCCTCTGAGGTAGATTCACAAAAATCTAAATCAGAGATTTCTTAGAGTAAAATATCCACCACAGCAAAGTGAAAAAAACAAATCAGCAGGGCTGTACTTGTACAGATAATCAATATTCTATTAAACAAACCCATAACAACAGCAGCAGCAGCAACCAATGAAATGCCACTTCTTACCATTCACAGTTCCCAAATGAACCACTCAAAGAGATCACCAATGGTGTAGATCTGGACAAAACTAGTTCTTCCTCATAGGCCTGTATTTGCTTACAATTTAGCCTGAAAATACTAGCAAGAACAGATCTCGCAACAGAGATACAAATAGTTGAATGGAACAAGAGATGTCAAATTTGTACCTATGTCTAGTCTGGTCATATTTCTAGACCTAACAATGCATGCTATTCACAATATCAGAGATTCCTACATTTGTTTGTCCTCCAGTGTGTTTCTCTGCAGACAGTGGCCTTCCATCTTTAATGTAAGACAAATAGGATGACTTTACAGCTGGTGGCAAGTTTCCGAAACTGAAGTCTCCCCCCACCACAAGGGCTTCCCCACAACAAAAAGGATTCTATGGGCACCTTGTGACCTTGACAGGGAGGTCAATCAGAAATGTTTTATTTACCAAAAAAATCACACCAGCTGACGTAAAGTGCCCCGCTTTACGATTACCCCATTTAACGACGAATCTGCTTCAAGACGATGTTTTTGCGATCGCAAAGCAATGGTTTGAATGGGGGTTTTCCGCTTTGGCAATGTTTTGAATGGGGGTTTTCCGCTTTGCGATGATCGGTTCCCTGCTTCGGGAACCGATTTTCGCTTTATGCCGATAAAAAACAGCTGATCGTCAGGTTTCAAAATGGCCACTGGCTGAAGAAAATGCCCCCCCCCCCCGCTGTGCTTAGGGATGGATTCCTCACTGCACAGGCATGGAAAATGGCCGCCCCTATGGAGGATCTTCGCTGGACGGTGAGTTTTCAGCCCATTGGAACGCATTGAACAGTTTTCAATGCATTTCAATGGGCTTTTTTAATTTCGCTTTACGTTTTTGCTCTACAGCGATTTCGCTGGAACGAATTAACTTTGTCAAGTGAGGCACTACTGTAACTTTACACAATGCAGCTCTACAAACAGAATTTTAGCCAATGGGTGTCACCATCTGATACTGCATTGGGAGCCCAAGAAGGACACTTTTTTTGCTTGCCCTGACCCCCCTTTTTTTTCTTCAGGAGAGATGTTTCAGACTCATCCAGTGGAAAATACATACCAAATACCACCATACAGTCATGGGCAGGGGGTGTAATCATCTTGGGAAATACAGAGGATTCGATTTGGACCTCAGGAAAATGGGACTGAACATCAGGGCCTGAGGTTCCCCATTCCTGATCTAAGCTATGTCCTATATACACAATTCTTCTTCCAAGGTGCTCTTTCTACATCTCTAACCTGCCGTTTCTCTTCTTTGTCCCAACTATCACCAGACTTTTCCTCTGAATTGCCATTTTCACATTCTTGTTTTTCCCAGGCTGTGCACATATAGCCCCCAAGGACTCAATTGAATTCCTGGCTTCCACTTCCCTCACCTTTCTACAGACTGAAAGCAGAGAGACGCTGCTCAGTGCAGGCAATTTACACTGAGACCTTCGCATAGAAAAGCTGCAATCCATACTTCTACAGTACAATACAGTCATTCTGTTATTTCGTGCAGTAGAACTTACCACTAGGATGATTTATGAATAGAGCTACTGTCAGTGCTATATTTTAAACACGGTAAATCAAGGAATGTGTTGTTGCCGCTTTCTCTTATTTATATTAAGGGATTGTAACTAATTATGCAGAGCTAGCACATGAATAAAGAATTTAACAAATGAAAGTAATAGAGAGAAGCATGAAACAACAAAATCTTTAAAGCTGAAAAAGCACTCATTAAGTTTGAACCATGTTTGGAATCATGTTTCAGGCATTTTACAGCATGATCCAATATCAACCACTAAGATCACCTACCTTTGTAGTTACATTCTCCTGGATAGGAAAGCTCTCTTTCACATCAACAGCAACCGGAGTTGTGAACAGCTCAGGGTTTATTGCTACCACATCATCAAGGTCAATCTATAAAGGGTGCAGGAGGGAGACCAAATACATACAAAACAGAATAAAAAAAGAGTAACTCATATTTAAGCATCACCTCAGACATCAGCAGATCTATGACAATGATTTGTCATGACAAGTTGAAAGGAAGAGAGTGTGGTCACTGTTTCTTTGGCCTAAAATTTAAGATGCTTCTTAAAACAATCTGCCTATAAGCTCTATCCTATACCATACAGTACCATGGGCTGTACAGTATTTCAGAGACCTAGCAAAGCACATTTGCGACAAATGCTTTAATCTCCAGCAGCTAATCTTAGTACATCCCAGTCATTCCCTAATTTCTGTTGTAAGAGCTCCACGTGTTACAACTTACTGAAACAGAATCTAACAATTGTCAGTGTGAAATGTACAATATTTACTGCTGAATCTAGAATCAATCAGCTGCACTATGCAACTGACTATTTCCTTACTTTTCTGCAATACAGATGTAAACTGAACAAGTCATGCCCCCTTAGTCCACTCACTTGACCTTAGAGTGACATCATAATCCTATTGCTAGTGCTGCAATATTCCAACAGACATTTTCCTGAGCTACAAAGGCATCCATACAGAAAGCAACACACATTAACACATAACAAATTAGGAAACATAGCTTCATATTCATTCACGCAACAATACATGTCTATTTTATTATATGTCATGTGAAAGTTTAACAACTTTCTTTGTTTAAATTTTCTTTGATACACAAATATTATATGGAATGCAACTCTACCCTAGCTGTGTGTGCTAAAAAAATCAAATAGGACTGTAGTCTCAAGTATCCAGTTTTATACTCCAAAGAGCTCCATTGCTTTTAAGGCTCTTTCTACATCACATGTCATTTACGAGGGCAGAAAGAATGTGGACTATAACACAGCAGAGAATTTTCAGTAGACCACCTAGTTCATCTAATTATCCCTTTAAATCAAGAGAGGAAAATACAGAAGTGTGCAGTCTTGATTTACTGAGTTAAAATAAACCTTTTGAACCACTTTGCAACTTCAAAAATATCTTGATCAAAAAAATAGAGTGCCCACTCCTGTAATCTCCAAAGACGAACCAGTTTCTCTCAAAACAAGCTTTAGATCCCTATATGCTGATTTGTCTACAAGCCCAAAAGGTATGTCTGGAAACTAGAAGACTTCTGACCATGTCTGGATTTCATATTGGGGAGCAGCACAGCCTACAATGTATCCTGGATGCACAAAATTAGCCCTAGAATTTGTTCACCCCTTTAAAATATACATTCAGGGCATAATACAGATTAGTGATGCTTTAGGTTTTGCTGCTACATTAGGTGCTGTACTCTATTTACAAACATACTGATGGGATAAAGGATTCTAATACCCTGTCTCTGCCATAGGTAAGCTATTTATCGTACACTTTATTTGAGTAGGACTCACAAAAAGGAAGAATGAATCTGAAAAAGCTCCATGTATTGTGAAGTTTGAAAGCAATGATTGCTCATAAACAAATCTTTAAAGATGTACAAGAGGTTAGAGATGGAAGTCTCTTACTAATTCTAAACAAAGTGTTGTGTGCCTTACTTGGGTGAGGGGAGGAAATCCAGGTAAGCAACTTATATTAGAAGTGCAATACTATACATGATCTCTCAGATGTAAACCCTACTGAATTCATGGTGACTTTGTTGTTGTTTAATCGTTAGGTTGTGTCCTGTCC